AGTAACCATAAATATCTTGAAAAAGAAAAAGTTGGGGGACTCACAGTTCCCAATTTAAAAGCTTCTTACAAAGCTACAGTAATAGAAACAGTGTGATATTAGCATAAGCGTAGACATATAGATAAGTGGTATAGAATTGAGTCTAGAAATCAGCTCATGTGTCTGTGAGTATTTGATTTTTCAGAAGAGTGCCAAGGCCATTCAATGGGGAAAGAACAGCCTCTTTAGTAAATGGTGCTGGAACAACTAGATACCCACACGTAAAAGAATGAAGCTAGACTCTTACTTTCACACCATGTACAAACATTAAGTCAAAATGAATAAAAGACCTAAATATAAGAGTTAAAATTTTGAAATTCTTACAAGAAAACATAGGGGAAGTTCTTCATGACCTTGGATTTGGCAATGGTTTCTTAAATATGATACCAGAAGCACAAACTACCAAAGAAAAAATAGACAAATTGAACTTCCTCAAAATTAAAAACTGTTGTGCATTAAAAGACATCTAGAGAGGGCTTCCCTGGTGGTGCAGTGGTTGAGAATCTGCCTGCCAATGAAGGGGATACGGGTTCGAGCCCTGGTCTGGGAAGATCCCACATGCTGCGGAACAACTGGGCCTGCGAGCCACAACTACTGAGCCTGCGTGTCTGGAGCCTGTGTTCCACAACAAGAGAGGCCACGACAGTGAGAGGCCTGCGCACCGCGATGAAGAGTGGCCCCCACTTGCCACAACTAGAGAAAGCCCTTGCACAGAAACGAAGACCCAACACAGCCATAAATAAATAAATTAAAAAAAAAAAAAGACATCTAGAGAGCATAAAGACAACCTACAGAATGGGAGAAGATATTTGTGAATCATATGTCTGGATCTAGTATCCAGAATATATAAAGACGTCTTACAACTCAACAACCTAATTAAAAAGTGTGCAAAGAACTTAAATAGACGTTTCTCCAAAGAAAATATACAAATGGCCAACAAGCATATTAAAGAATGCTCAACGTCATTTATCATTAGGGAAATATAATCAAAACCACAATGAGATAATATTTCACACCCCACTGTTACGACTAAATTTAAAAAGACAGACAGTAACGTCTGTGGATGTGGGGAAATGGAATCCTTGTACATTGTCGGTGGAATGTAAAATAGTGCAGCTGCTTTGGAAAACAATTGGCAAAAAGTTAAACATGGAATTTCCGTATGATCCAGCAATTCCATTTCTGGGTATATACCTCAAAGAGTTGAAAACGGGTACTCAAACAAATATTTGTATGTGCGTGCTTACTTAGCCTGTTCACAATAACTGAAAGGTGGAAACAGCTCAAACAGCCAACAAAGGGTGAGTGGATGAACAAAAGTGGTACATACATACAATGGAATATTATTCAACCATAAAGAGGAATGATTCTTCTCTGTACGTGGATGAACCTTGAAAACATTATGCTCAGTGAAAGAATTCAGACACAAAATGTCCTATATTGTATGCTTCCATTTGTATGAAATATACAGAATTATTAAATCCATAGAGACCAAAAACAGACTGGTGGTTGCCAGTGATTGGGGGAAGGGAAGGGAGGATTGGGGACTTGCTGCTTAACGGGTACCAGGTCTTCTCTTGGGATGATGAAAATGTTTTGGAAATAGACATGGAGGTGCACAACATTGTGAATGAACTAAGTGTCACAGAATTGTGCACTTTAAAATGGTTAATTTTGTGTTATGTGATTTTCATCTGAATAACAAAAAATATAGAGATTTATCTTAAAAAAATGAAACCAGGAATTATGGAGTTAGTCTAATTTTTCTTATATCAGGTATTAATTGAACTATCTGATATATTTTCAAAATAAAAGGAATTAAGTGTTCATATTTTTTGGTATATTTTAAAATTACAGCATAATGACATTTTCCACTAAACCTTTAACTTTCACACTGTGATCATAGAAAGGGACATTTTTTGAAAAATATGTATGTTCCTAAGAACCAGCTCTTAATTTTGTGATATTAATCATTGGAACAGAGAGCATAGTAATTCCTTTTGTTGGCATATACTGCGGGGGGGGGGGCGGGGAAGAACAACAAAAAAATATGATGACCAAACTGATTGATTTTGGTGTGATTTACACATAAAAAAGTATGTTCACTAGCTTCTTAAAATCTACCATGTTCTTATTTATAATTCAAAAACAAGATTTGTTACATTGGTGAAATATATTTTATTTTATATTTTAAATATATTTAAATATTTTAAATATATTAAAAATAATAAATATATTAGGCAGGTAAAGTTTCAGAATATTTGTTAAGAAACTATTGAATTTCTTTAGATTTCTTGCTCTGTTTTAAACTTAAACTTTGGATGAGATATGAACGTTAGAAAGTGCCTCCTTTAGCAAAATTCATTTTCACTAGCTGACAAATAAGCCTTTATAGGAGCAAAGGTTTATTCTATTTTAATTAAGCCTCCCAAACTTTCAGGCTCTTGAAGTTTTAACTAAGTTCTCATATTTGCCAAATTGGGCAAGAAACTTTATGAGAACAAATTTTATGATACAATATATTATAATTTCAATATTAGTTCAACGCAGCTGGAAACCAACTTTTCTTATAGTGTGGCAACATTTTACTTTTTTCCTTTTGGCCCTAATTAGGAAATGGTGTAATGAGCATTTGTGTTAAAATTATGAAGAGCAGGAAATTTGTCTCGAATCAATAGGTTGAGATCAGTGTCTGTTAAATATGGAGAGAAAATTATATATTGATCAAAGTTACCTCATTGTGAAAAAAAAAGTGGGGGATACCTTTTTGGAGTTAATAATAAAACTGCAAACTTGATTTCAACTTCAGATCCTTTAAATGCATCATTATATACATTTTTCATTTATATTAGAGGCAGATTCAGATTTAGGGAGCTTATAATTTTGAGCTGTAAGAAAAGGGAATATAAAACATGAATGAAATCTTAGGTAATGGATTTTTGAAAGGGACAAGGCAAGTGTTATATTCTTTTTGCTCCTTATGAAGATTGAAAATGGCTAAGAAATACATAATAAAACTGTTAAATTGAAATAGGAAATAACAATATTTATGCTTACAAAATGCAAAACTTTTATATGAGTAAAATTTTATTTCACCTTTAATTTTGGGATGGATATTTTATCAAGGTATAGACTTAGATTCTAGATTTTCCCCCAGCATTTTAACTATATTGTTCCATTGTCTTCTGTATTCCATAGTTTATGTTGGATGCTCAGCTGCAAGTTTTATTGTTTTTCCTTTGAAGGTGATATGTCCTTTTTTTCCCCTTGCTGTTTTTAAGATTTTCTTCTTATCTTTGATTTTCAGCAGTTTGCTGAGGGTGGTTTTCTTTCACATTTTCCAGTACAGGGTTGGCTGTATTCCCAGAGTCAGTGAGTAATGTATTATATCAGTTTTGGAATATTCTCAGCTGTTTTTTCTGAAAATATTGCTTCTTCCCCATTCTCTCTCTTCTCAACTACAATTACATTAGCTGTTTGATTCCAACATGTCTCTTATGCTCTGTTCTTTTTTTTTTTCTTTTCTTCTTTTTGCTTCAATTTGGATGCTCTCTTCAAGTTCACTAATCCTGTGTTTTGCTGTGTTGAGTTGGCTAAAACCCACCCACAGATTTCTTAATTTCAGATACTGTATTTCTCAGTTCTAAAATTACTATTAGATTCTTTTTCACAGATTTTAATTCTCTATTGAAATGTGAGAATTTTCATCTACTGTGAACATTTTTTGTATATCTTCTTTAACTTATGGTTTTCTTAAAGTCCTTGTCTTCGAATTCTGTATTATCTGTGGGTTGGCATATGCATTATTTTTTCAACTGTTTATTGGTCACATTTTGTCCCCTTTCCTGTATTTTGTAATTATTATTGTATACCAAATACTGTCTATACTAGGATAGAAATTGATGTAAATGTTATTTTCTTTCAATATTATATTAGAAAGAAATGATTAAGTATTAACCGTCTCAACTCAGCCACAAATTGAGCTGGGTGGTTTGAGTGACAGCTCTGGATATACTCAGTGTGCCTCTGGTTTTAAATGTCTTAAGGGCCAGACCTGTTGCGTTGCAGTTATTCCTCTGTGCTGTGGCTTTGTACTAATGTACTATGAAATTGTTGGAGATTTTACTCTACCATTTGGCTTCTGCCCCCTTTTACTCTCAAGGTGGGATGCTTTTGATTGAGAGCAAATATCTTGAGGGGAGACCTATTGAAATTCTGCACTGAAAGTGGTAGGCTCCATCTGTTGTAGTGTGACTTTAACTCCTAATCACTTAAGCACTGCAATGGGACCCTGTGTCCCATTCTCTTCTCCTTCCCCCAGAACTTCTTGTGCAGCCCTAGGCCCCAGCAAATCTCCCAGAAGAAAACTGTCTGTGTCTTGTGGGTCCCATGGGATTCCAGTCTGTCATTGCCCGCCCAAGAGCTATCACAAACTGTGCTGGTTTCTCTTTTCCCTGGTAGTGTCCCTCTGTCTGGTTCTTAGGTCTAGATGGTAAATCCTCCCAGTAATGAAACAATCAGGAGGCTCAGCTTACCCAAGAAGAGATAGCACTTTTCTCCTAGTTTATCCTTTTTGTATCCAAAGTTCTCCATTGTCTTTAAAAATATGATTTTGGGGGATAGTTTACCTTTTTTTTTTCTTCTAGTTGTTGTGGAAGCAGTGACTTGACACTATGGACTGGTAAATTAGTCTTGTAAAAGTAAAATAAAATTTAGACCTGTATGTTTATTCTTTTATATATTGTATTTATATAAATTATGTGTGCTTAGATTATTGATGTTATTGAATGTTAATAGTTGCTGTTTAATCTACCAGGCCCAGAAATTGATCATTCTTGATGTTTAGAAAAACCCTATCCAGAGAACCAATTTTAATTTCAAAATTCGTTTTGGACAGTAATAATTTAAATGAAATGTAAACAAAAATTAATTTTCTTTTTCTTTCCCCTTTTCCTGTTTAGTGAGTGATAGTTGCTTCAGGAATCTTGCAGAAGATCGCAGTGGGATAAATCTCAAAGATCTTGTACAAGATCCTTCTTTGTAAGTATTTGGTTTTCAGTATTAAGTGTAAATTAAAACTTTATGATTTGTGTGACTTTTTCCAGAAGAGTTGTAACAGAACTGATTTAAGGTTGAGTAATTTCTTATTTTCTGACAATTTGTGTTACATATAGTGAAGCACATAGAACAGTTTCAACAGAAGTGAAGTTATGGAACACTTTCTGTTTAGAAATTGAGGAGATTTTAGAAGAAGAGATAAAGTTGTGATTAATGATTGACTTTCAAAGAGTATCTACTAATGGTTGATGATATCTTACCAGTGTGGCAGTAGATAGTAGGCAGGGAAGATGATTAGTAGTTGTTTTGCTTGGGAAGGCAAGATTGAATTTGTTTACATCAATTTTAAGCTTTTTTGAATAATTTATAAAATCATTTGTAAGTATAATTACAAATGTAAAACGGTTATTTGTAATAACAATATACTTGACTGTATTGAATATATTTCTGATGTTTTACATTAGAACACTATGTATAGCACAAGATTTTTGAAGAGTTTTGTAGGTTTCAATTTTTAATGTTCTGGCTCATGAGTCAGTTCCATTCTTTATCAGAACATATTTCATATCAGAATATAATGTCACTTTCTATTTCTATTTCATGAATCAATTTTTTTCAGTTTTATATTAACTGCAAATCATGCATACTATCTTCTGTAGGAAAATATCCTTCCAGTAAGATCACCTTTTATTAAAAAAACATTCAATACTAGTTAAGCCCTGGGCAGCAGGGAAAGAAAATTGAGTGTGGGCAGATACTTTCTTTAATGATACTTAATGCATTCAGTAAAATATATTATAACAAAAAATTACTCTTCCACATCAGATGTAATCTATACTCATCCAAATTTTACTAGTAATTCATTTAAAATTGTGTGAGGAATAAAACACAGGAGTGTGTTGAACCTGAAGGTTATTGATTTCGTAATGATTTTCCAAGTCATTAAAAAAATATAGTTACAAGACAGAATGGTGAAAATGATTGAATATTGAAGTTATTGTAATGAACTCATTATTGTAATGAGTTTCAAAATGAGTTTCCAATCCCAATTCTCTAATTTTTTTTTTAATGTCTCTTCCTCATTCAAAAGGATTGTCAATATTCTTTCTCCATGATTTTTATTGAAAGGAAGATTGATAAGTTGTCCTTTCAGTTCTATAAATATTTAATGAAGAATAGAATTGTTCTATGTGGATATAAATATTCCTAGTAAATGAATATTGAATAACATGTGCATGAGGTTATGGGAAGAAACTTTACAATATCATTGAAAGATGTCACCCATTTGAATGGATAAAATAAATTATCCCATTGTATTATTTGTAAGGTATATTTTTGGTACAGTGGGATTATATATCTTTTTAATGCAGTCTTTTTGGGAAAAAATGTGCTTATATGGACTTCAATAATATAAAAGCTGTGGAGAATATACTTGAAAATTGGATTATAATAATGAGTTGTAGTGTTTTGAAACACTTTGGTACTTCTTCCTAGAATGTAGAATGTAGAATAATATTCATAATGTCACCTATCACTAAAATAAGAATTTAATCTTAGAGAAAATTTCTAAGAGAAATTTATCTCAAATCACTACTGCATTGAGTGGACAAAATAATTCTAAGTCTCTGTTTTAAAGTAGCCAGATATCTTAATTTAACATCATTCTCTTAACTTGGCATTAGTCTCTTGGCATTAGTCTTGAATGTAAGAATTCAGTGAGCAAGAATTTGTCTTTACCCTTGACACTTGGATTTGGAAAGAACTTTTTTCTTAATAAGAATTGTCAAAATGTACTATTAATGACTGTAATTCATTTTTTAAAGATATATTTCTTACTTGCTGAAA